TTGCTTCTCTGAAACTTCACTAACACGCAACATATACTTGTTATTGTTGTCCCTTTGGGTGGGAATACTCTCTGTGTCTCTCTCTGTGTGTTCCACACAGACTATTTATTTAAAACAAAAAAACTTTGATATATATATTAAAAAAACACTAATTCTCTTTTGAATATATTCTTGATGTTACGAATCTCTTGAAGCATTCTCTTAAAACTGTTCATGTTAACAATGAGAGATGTGTAAATCCACTTTGAAAAAACTTTTGGGAAGATTTGTGAAATTTACAAAATAGTGGAGGGATAATGAAAATCTCGACGTAGGTGTTGATTGCTACTGGGCTAATTTTAACTCGACAATAGCAAAAGACAAATAAAAATACCTTTCTCATTTAAGAAAGAAAAAGAAAAATTGATAATTACTATAATAGAAGATTACTATTCCAGTAGCCGAAACTTGTGCGAAACTTCTCATGTAAATATTAAATCATATCCTGGTTAAATTAAGAGAGATTAGTGTATTGGTTAGGTGAAATGTACTCGATTTGTTTAGTGTTAATAACGATTAATGATCACGCTTGTCTTCTTACGAATATGATTAAAATACAATGACCGATACAAAAATCCGTTAAAAATTCTACGTAATAATAATATAATATAGACTATGTCTACATATTACATAGATTCTTCTCTTTAATTTTCTTTCTTAAACGTCAACTTGTTCTGTCATTACGTGAAAGATGGTCTGAACCAACTCGCACGAAATTCCGTTTTAGACGTATTATCTCAGTCGAATAAACAAAGAATATATGCATAATAACGATATATATATGTAACAAACGTTCACTAAAACCATATAACAAAAGCTTTCTGAGTATATATATTCTTGAAGCTTTAAAAATGTCTTATGCAAAAGAGCTAGCTGCTGCAAAGAAAGCCGTTTCTCTAGCTGCTCGTCTCAGCCAAGTAAGAAATGTTACCAATTTATCATCATTTGGTTAGTGTAACAAAATATATTTGAGCTAGACTCGAGCATGGAGTGAATATGAAATCTTATAATGTAATGAAATCAGGAAGTGCAGAAGACTCTGTTGCAATCCCAAGTATGGACAAAATCTGATAGATCTCCGGTTACTGCAGCTGATTACGGTTTGTGATACCTTAGCGTTTTGCATACCAAGCGAATTCAAATTCGAGTTTCGGTTGTTCTAGATTTGGGTTGTCACTTACCTTTACTATGATGCTTTCTTCAGGCTCGCAAGCTGTGGTTAGTATTGTATTGGAGACGGAACTACGACCTGAAAAACTGTCATTAGTAGCCGAAGAGGTTCAACAACTCTAAAACAAAAAATCGATTTTTTTTCAGAGGTTGTATAGCGTAAATGTGTTTATCAAGTTTTCTCGGGAAAAATTCTTACAGGAAACTGGAGATCTGCGGAAGAAGGGAAGTGAGGTGTTTCTGGAAGGTATTACAAAGCTCGTGAAAGATACTTTGGATGCTGAGGAATCGCACGCCGGTTCTCCTCTATCCACAGATGATGTGTTGAACGCTATAGACTGCGGTAAATCAGAAGGCGGTTGCAGCGGTTGCCACTGGGTTCTTGACCCTATAGATGGAACCAGAGGGTAACAAATCTCTGTAATCTGTATATAAGCTTCCGCTATGCTCTACCTTTCCAAAAGCCGGTGTTTTATACTTTCCTGTTTGTTAGATTTGTAAGAGGAGAGCAATACGCTGTGGGATTAGCATTGCTTGTGGAAGGCAAAGTGGTGCTCGGTGTCATGGCTTGTCCAAATCTTCCTTTGCCTTCTGCGGTTTGTGAGACGGACAAGTCTTCCCAGGAAAATGTTGGCTGTCTTTTCTTTGCTACAACAGGTTCAGGGACTTACGTGCAACCGCTCAAAGGCAATTCTCCGCCACAGAAGGTATTATTTTGCCTTATCCAAAGCTGAACCGTGTTTTATAATCTGCAATTGTTTGATACTGTTAAAGAGAGTGAAAGCTGTGTTGACAGGTGCAAGTGAGTAGTAATGAGAATCTTGAAGAAGCGAAGTTCTTAGAATCATACCATTTATCAATTCCCATCCATGGTTCCATTACCAAGGTAAGATCTTGTTTTGTCGTATTACAGTGAGCCTTTAATAAGTAGGCCATAAGCAAGTGATTAGTAAACCAGTCTGTTTACGGTTTAAGCAGAAACTAGGGATCAAAGCATTACCTGTAAGGATGGATAGCCAGGCTAAGTATGCATGTGTGTCACGAGGAGACGCAGAGATATACTTACGTTTCACTCTCAATGGACACCGTGAGCGTATATGGGACCATGCCGCTGGTTCAATCATCACCACAGGTACAGTACAAACAACCCTTCTTTTTAATACTGAGAGTTATTGGCTCCAATGCACATTATAAAGAAACAGGTTGCTCGTATTTGCCAAGCACATCGGGGATCTAGATTTAATACCCACTTATGTCATGAATAAAAAGAAGTGAACAAAATAACCTTGTGCAGAAGCTGGAGGCATAGTTTGCGATGCTGCAGGGAAATCACTGGACTTCTCAAAAGGAAAGTATCTTGCTCACAAAACGGGGATCATAGCTACCACCAAGAAACTCATGCCATGGGTTTTGAAGGCAGTCATAGAATCCATGGAAGAGGAGAATCTTCATTTCTGAGACACAACTTAAACTGTACTATATTTGTGTTTGTGTGAACTAGTAACTGGTGTGTATGCTTAGATCATATATTGGATATGGCAGATATGAAATAAATTTATGCTTAGAGGAAACTATAAGATAATGAATAATGATACTTAGCCAGATTTGATTTGACTTCATTTTCATCTTCCAAAAAATGGATTCTAACATGTGTCCACTAGGAATCTATGTTAACCTTACAGATATTGTCACAAAATCCATTCACCTAAAGAGGAAAATAAAAGACCTGGGAAATTATCATGAGCATTAAGCATAACTCCCCAGGCGATCCATTTTGTTACTGATAAAAGCTGATGGGTTTAAAGTGTCATCTAAGATTATGTTCTGTTCCGATCAGCCATCCTCTTCTTCTGAATCCTGCAGAAGGGCACCCCGTTTCCGGGTTCTGCAAAAACCATAGCTAGGTTACTGATATTAACATGGCTGTTGCATATGAGGGTTTAGAGAGGAGAAGATATGTATATACCTCCGGTGAGCAGGCACTCGTTTAGCAGGTTTTGTTGTGTTAGCTTCTCGGGCAGGTTGCTTGGCTGCAATAATACAAGGGGAAAAACAGTGATGTCAAAGATTAATGTTTCCATATGAGGTTTTCTACGGGAAAGAATTGGAAACAAATGACTAAATGTGGTTGAACAGCAAGCAAGACTAACCGGGAGAGTCTTGCCGGTTATCTGATGATGGAGCCATAACATCCAGTTGGTTATAGGTAGCGTCCCTCTTATCCTGATCACAATACAAATGCGATTTATAAAGCAGGGGAGTAAGAACAGAACCGTTGATTAGAATGACACAATTAGAGCTTCCAGACCAAAGATAACCTTTTCATCAGTTGCTGCAGCTGAAGAACTCACCTCTCCTGATGGCACAAATAAGGGTAAAAAAACCAAAACATTAGAAGTTAAAACCCAGTCCAATCCACACAATCTTTCGAGCCGAGATCCCACACATTCGAGAGTGTATATAAGCATTGTTCTTTGCGAAAATCTCTACTACTATGAAGAGTATCCGAAATTATTGCAAGAACAGTAGAGAAATCATTTTTCTTACCTTGTAAGTGCTTTTTGCTTTTGAATGCTCTGAACAACTCGAGAGACAGGTTTGCCATTGCTTCACTAGCAGATGAGCTTACCATCTTTGTTAAAGGAATAATTATTCGAGGCATTCCTTTGGCCTTCTGAGAAACTAATCTCGCAGTCTCAACACCTAAAACAGTATTGTGAAAAAAGAAACACGCAATTCGTGTAAGAACTCATACAGATATAGTAAGGAAATTTTACCATTTGAAACCGAGTTTTCTCCCAGGAGAAGAAGCTTCACACTGTCGGATTTCAAGGAAGCTATAGTATAATCGAGGAACTCAGACCACGAACCACCAATCCCCACAGCATCTCTCTGTTTCAAATCAAGTGCAATCCCAATCATAAGCCATTGGTATCTTCGTTTCCTCAACGAGTTTGAGGAAATAAACGAACAAGGGAGAGAGTAAACGAACCATATCGTCTAGCTGCGAGACGGAGAGGATCGTCGTCCAGACGCCGGAGACAAAGTCGGTGACACGGACGGTTATGTTATATGAATCGGAAGCGTAGACGTGGAAGAGACATCGCCGGAGAAGACCCGAACCCGGATCCGCACGTTCGGGTACGACTTCTCCGAATATGGGTTCGAATTTCTCGAAACTCGCCATCAAGAAAAAAATTTAAAGTCTTCTACGTTTTGCTAAAATTAAAAAAAAAAAGTAGTCTCTCCGACGAC